CTTTCCAATCTGTCTGTTCTCTTGTAATACCGGTACACGTTATTTCATACCATATCCTGGAAGCAAAGAGAGAAAAAGCTCTTAAAAATACAAGGCGCAAGTATGTAAAGGTTACATACATTACATAAGCTCTGTGAAATTGTTTGTGTCTGGACAGATGTGTTTTCCCTCTGACAGTAATTTGAAGGTCACATACAACATTTCATCATTTTTGTCACTCGTGTTGGACTATATCATAAATTACAAATATTTATGATGATGTTTAGTGCTATTTGATTCATATTTTTCGTTAAATCAAAAAGTGACAGCTTTATTTTTGTTCTTTAGCATCCGGAAACCCCCTTTCATACGTACAAATAACTTTTGAGAGGTGAGTACATGTATTTCATATAGACATACCTTGAGCTGCCAAAAAAGAGTACTTTACATTCAAATAAATCTTTTGTTTAAACTTGTAGGCAATAAATATTTGTAGAAGATATTGAATAAACTATGCTCTATGAAACTGAATGTTTTGTTGAATCTGTTTATTTTACATCATGATAGAGAGAAAGAGAGAGAAACTTTCCAATTGGGTAAAAGTATATATGAAAGTACAAAATGTATGAATGACCATGACAGCCATTATTAGACTCAGAATATAATCTTCTTTAACAAAAATATATATATATACAAGTCAAACCTGCTTTAGTGACCACCTGTCTATAAAGACCACCTGTCTACAAAGACCACTTTTTGTGTTTCCCTTGGGTGGTCGCTATAAACAGGTTGACTGTAAATGATATGTTTGGGTGAAAGAGAAAGAAAGAAAATAAAGTTTCAAATTGAGAGGGACAAACGGAGCAAGTAAGAAGTAGATGCCATACTAATGGAATTGAGAGAGAGAGAATTAAAAGCAATTTACAGTTTAATACTCAAGAAGACACCAAAAGAAATGAAATCTCATAAACAAAAACATGCCAACATATAGTAACAGAACTTATTTTAAGTGAATAGCAGATGTATTCATAACATAACACAATACACTAAACATACTAGGAACAAAAGCTAAACCAAAACGGAACAGTTAAACGGGGTAGGGGAAGGGAGGGGTACATCTTTTCAATTATAATGAAAATGGATATCGTCCGTTGAGAGCCAGATGGGGCTTTAGCAAAGAACTTTCACATAGAGTCAATACCCTTCTACCTCTCTGCAGGACGGCATGTACAAAAAGGACATTCTAAGGAACTGGTATGTCTAATCTATCTGCTCGCTAATATTTCGAACATACATGTACTAGAAATACAGGAACAACATGTTACAGTATCAAACATGATAAGAAAAGGGTATAGGGGCTGTTTCTTCACTCTTTCTGAGTTTCTGAGGGAGTTTCTTGGGGTTTGTTGTCAGATTTCTTGGGGTTCTGGACACTGAAGAAGCTAGCAAGGGTTTTGGTTTTCTTGACAGGAGCCGGGCTTGTTTTCTCCTTGCTCTCTGACAAGTTATTGGACTCGTAGAGCTTGGCAATAGCTGAATTGAGACGTTGTGGGGAAACCTTCTTTATGGATGGCAGAGAGGGCGCACTTCCAGCGGACCCATCTGCAGAGCTGTTTAGTTTTACACCTCCAGGTGGAGGAGATCTGACGTTCGGTTTTAAGATGGGGGCAGAGTGCTTCAGCTTCACACTAGTAAGGTCTTGTCGTATAGTGTTCTGTGCAACCCCTGGCATATTCTGTGGAACACCTTTAGTGTTTGGGAGGACATTGGTTTTGGGTGGTTGGACAAAGGTGTTGGGTGGTTGGGCAAGAGTGTTGCCAAGTGCCGATGTATGATGCATGTTTGCCAGAAGACTGGAGGCTGCAGCCTGTTGCAGGAGGTTACTCATGTTGAAAGCTGCTGGGTTGATGGCTTGCTGCATCTGGATTGGCATTACTTGAAAGGGTACAAGTCCAGGCTGCACAAGGGTACTTCCCTGTGGAATGTAGCTGATAGAAGGGGTACTCTGGAACTGGGTACCCCCCTGGAGGTGCAAGGTACCCGAGGCACTTGACACACCAACCACATTGTTGAAAGCCGAAGGCATTGTGTTCGATGGGATGAAGATATGCTGCTTCGCCAGAGCTGCCCGATGTTCCTTCGATGCCTTCAGCAAGCTACTGACAGTACCAACCTCAGACAGATTAGGTACCTTTGCCGGTACAGGTTTACTCACTACAGGTTTGGGTAGAGCTGCAGCTGGCCTAGCTGCTATGTTAGTTGGTGGCAGTGGTGACGACTGTCCATCACTCATCCCCACACCGTTCACCCAAGCAGTGGGAACAGGCAAATCGGTCAGTTTGTATTTCTCCAGGAAGCGGTCATGCACGTACCAGCAGATGCGCTTGAAATGCTGTGGACGTCTCTCCCTCACAGCAATGTAATTGATCTTGAGGTCCAGCTGTCGTTTAGATATGACATGACCAATGTGGTCTAGGTACTGCGGCGATGGAGTACCGGTGGATCCTGGAACTGGACTAGGACTAGTATCCTGACCTGGAGCCAATCCTGCTTCTCCGACCGGAGACTCTCTGGCAGCCTCCTGGTCTCCTGCAGCAAGAGATGGTGAATCCCCAGGAGAAGCAGCAGCAGGTGCTCCGGCTCCGGGGCTTGATGACTCCAGGCGGTGCTGCTTACGGCGCCAGTAGTCCCTGAATTCACGGATCAGTGACTTGATCCCTGCCATGTTACCATGTACTAGATTCATAAGTTCTGGCATAGCTGCAATTGGAACAAATATTTTTGAAACAGAATTAAGCCTCAATAGGTATTGCAATACTCAAATATATGAAGAACATAAAGATTCACTGCTAAACAATAACATTTACCTTACAATGTTCTGTACTTCGAAAGAGCACAAATGTTGAAACACCTATATCATGAGGAATTACACATATATGTGTATGTCTGATGCCAAGTTGTTCTCATGATCTTATTAGCTGGCATAATGTTAAACACTAGACAGTATTTTTGGGGGGTAATTTTGAGCTCTTGTAATATCTTTCCTCAGTTTTAACATAATTACAAGCTATAATCAGCAAATATTTGGATTGTATAATCACACATGTCATCCTACTGTATAATCTTGACTAACCAACATCAGAGCACCATCATAAATGTAGTGATAATATGGGTAGAATCAAGAGCAAAGAATTATAAGAACTATTTGCATCAAATTGAAAAAAACAAATAAGCGACCTTTGAGCAATGGTGTCTACAAATAAAAGCTCTCCACGGAACAATAGTGAAATCATGCTCTTTCTTCCAATCAGTTGCCCTGCCAAGTTGGAGAGATGTAGAATAGATACAAGTGCACAGATTCTTCATCATTATAATACATCAGGGACCCGTTTCACAAAGCCTTTCTTCAATGACAAATGACAAATATCAGTTACAAATCTGCTGATAACCAATCAGAAGCAAGGATTTCAGTAGCTTATAACAACAACTATCATTTGTCACCGATGACAAGTTTTGTGAAACACCGCCCCTGTTCTTACCTTCTTCAGGGACTGGCTTTAGCTTGTTGCCCATGCGACCACCAAGCCTCTGGGTTCCAGCAGCAGCACCCTCTCCCTCCATAGCGTTGCTACTCTCCTCTTTACCCTTGGCTTTCTCTCGCTTGGTGAAGCTAGTCGCGATTGGAAGGTTGGTGAGAGGCATGGCCTGGTAGGCCTCAAGCTTCTTCCTCTCGTCCTGACGCGTCTTGTTGGTCGATGCCACCTGGATGAAGGTGATGATCATTGGTTTGAGGGCCTCGCAGCGTCGTTTTATTTCGTTGTCCCACGCCTTAGCCTTGGCCGCCTGCCGAGCCTTGAGATTGTCAGTATCCTCCTGGTGATAAATGTGAAGGACGAATACGAGGTAATGGGAAATACTGGTACTGAAGTCATCCTTAAAAGCCGGTCCGCACTAGTTTGGCCAGGAGGGATTAGACCACCCAGCATGGTCACTGACAAGTGTTTATCTCATCAACTCTGCTTTCAAGTAACATAAGAAAAAGGGGATCATGGGGGACCAACGGTCACCGATTAGGCGTTGTTTGCTATATAGAGGGTGCAAGTAGCTATAAGTAGTGAAGTGGTGCTTTACATTTTGGCTTCACATGAAAGGAACTCTCCCTTTGGTGCCTCCAATCAATCATTTTGGTGGTTAGTATTCCTCCTGGATTCATATCAATGATACTTGTAAAATGTATTGTTTGCTTTTGTCCGACTGGTTCAGAGGCAGATGTGGACTTCGGGGTAAGCACTGGAGATCTACAAAAGGCTGCTATGAGATGCATCGCTGTTTCTATAGGCTCAAGGGGTCATAGCAGGATGTAACGTCCCCGAGAGCCAGTATAGAAACAGCTATACCTCAAATATTAAAGAAGGGCTCTACTGTTTACAGGAGCCCATTTCAGGTGGACTGCTCAAATTCCTTCCTGCTCTTTTGGGGCAGCAAATCTGGGCTACTTATTCTAATCGAACACTATACATACAGAGTACAAATCAGTTGATTTTCCTACATCCTTATACCCGTAAAGAGTCTAAATACACCAGGACACTTGTTGCTCATACATTTTGGTAAGTAGTAAAATTTAACCCCTGCCCCCCCCCCAAAAAAAAATAAATAAATAAATAAATAAAATAATAATACTAATAATATTAATAATAATAAATAAATAAAATTCAAAAAATATTACATATTATTTTTCTATAAGTAAAAAAAAAATTCAAATTTTGGAAAAATCTGAAAATATATAAAATAAGATGAAAAAAAATATTTAAAAAATCTTGACTTGAGTGAAACAACAAGCCACAAGTTTGCATTTGCTTGTGAAAGGGAACTCACATCATCCTCCCCTCCTTCACCGGCTGAGAGATAACCATGGGGAACAAAGAATCCATCCTCTTCCTCATCATCACTATCTGCATCTCCATCCTCATCTTCACCCTGGTAGAAGAAAAACAACAATTATGTTATATAAAAAATATACTAATCATCGTGGGTGAAAGTTGGAGAAGGGAATGGGGAGGGGAGACATTTTTGTGCCACTGGTAAACTGGCAACACATTCATTTGGAAAGATACAGGTAATTGGTTCAACATAGCATGAAAATGGTCTACAAAATTCTTGAATTCATGCAATCCAAGTGGGGTTCATGAAATTGAGAAATTATAGCGATGTAAACATCATCTTAATTGGTGACATGATAGCCAACTAACTCCTTTTCCTTTCAATGTAACAGTCTTCAGCTTCCTTGTCACCATATCTATACTTAAAGTGTAATTCTAAACACATGATACAAATACAGCTCTGAGAAAGTGTCCATGTTATCAAATAGCCAGAAAAATATCAATCATTGGAAAAATACATGCAACTATCCAGGGGGGCCGGAGTTTCACAAATATCCTATAAAGTCAAACTTAACTATAAGTTGGACTTACAAATTATGGAGAGCCATTTGTAGCCTTAAAATTAAATATTTCCAAAAGCAAAAAGTATTTTAGACTTTTCATAAATTCCACATCAAGAACATGAAATCTCCTTGATATTAGAAAATATGAATGATTTGAATCAACATTCTATGCCTTTTGAAATAACTTTTAAGAAATATTTCCAATGATGCTAACGGCTTTCCATAATTGTTAGAGTAGGATCTTTGTGAAACATCCCCTGGGCAGGTTGAAAGACAGAACAACAAAGAGAATACATTACCTCTGAATTAGACAAGCTTTCTCCTGGTTCTTCCCATTCATCATCACTATCAACCTCATAGTCAAAGGTATCCTAGAATGAAGATTAATAGAGTGCAGAAAACTTGAAAAGTCATATTCACTTAAAGGTACTACCTGTATGTCCCATTTGTAGGCCCCCCAAAATGAAAAGGTTAGATTCCATCGGCATTTGAAAGATAATACTAATTTAGAACTTCCCTAAAAAAGGGAGGGGGGTTGAAAATGTCTATAAGTGGGAAAGTAACGACTATTAGTTGTCGAATCGACTTAAGAGCTATAGAGCCAGTAAGTAATAGTATGATTTTCAAACCATTGTACCGAATAGTTGTACGTTTTATGCTGCACAAAGATTCAATCAGTTTAATTTTGGCCATTACAAGAAGTGGGTTGTTGATGTAAACAAATGCTCATGTACTCTTTACAGCTCATTTGATGTATGTTATTACCAAAGAAGAAAAAAAGCCAGTCAGTCACTCAATAGTGTCTGACAGTGAAGTCTAGCAAATAAACGGGTTTCCTTGCATAATTTGAATATTAGGACACTGCTAACGTTTAAATATCACAGATAGTACATACATGACATATTCATAATTCCTGCAAAGTTCTACAGAATTTGATGTTCGCTGCAAATGGGACATACATGTAGTATCTTTAAGACTCATTTACATGTCATGTTCTAAACCTATACAAATATTAAAAATCCTGCTTCTCACGATGACTTTAGTTTTGAGTGCAATACGGCCCTTTGGCATTGGAGAAGAGTTATATTGTAGATTGGGAGAAAAAAAGGAAATTTGCATGGTGATAGTGTGTACTGACAATACAATCTTCAATACCCTTGCATACCTGCCAACATTTGAAAATAAGAATTAGGAATTCTGTACCAAAAAGCGAACACAAATTCCCTGCTCGATCATGCAGCCATTCAAGGCACGCAATACGTCAACTCTCAAATCGTGGCACATGATAAAACAAGCTTAATTTACCTTTAGCACCAACACAATAACTAACAAAAAAACAAAAACAAAATTCGCAATATTTAAAAATTGGGATATTCCTAATTCCTAATCCAGAAAATCAGAATATTCCGTATTATTTGGAAGGGTAATTGGTAGGTATTCACTGTAAGCCATTCATTGTTTATGTGCCACTCACACGCAATCCCGGTAACACAATGTATTACTCAAGAGGTATTTGTACAAATGAATTCTTTTCACTACCTGAGTTTTGGGGGGATATAACGCTACCAATACTAAACACACTTTATATAGGGTTTTTATGTTGCAATTGAGACTGGAAAATGGAAATGGGTAAAAAAAAGTATGAAGTTCTTGAGATACAAAGTACAATTCTTTGAATAACTGATCCCTATTGTTTGTGCCAATGAGCACTTGTGACAGTCTGAGATCATGCCAATTGGCATTTGTGTAATGTGGAAGCTTAAGCCCGTCTGTGCTAGTTTGGCCAGGGGGGGTTAGACCTCCCTGCGCGGTCACTGAAAGGTGGTTATCTCGTCAAATCAGCTCTCAATTAACATAAGAAAAAGGGGATCATGGGGATCAACAGGCACAGATTAGGCATTGTTTGCTATATAGAGGGCGCAAGTAGCTATAAGTAATGCGGTGGGACTTTTAACTCTTTACGCTTTGCCAATAGCACCAAGGCGTCTTATATATATATCCTCTCTCACCGTATCCTTCTTGAAGGGAGTGCGTCCTGCGACGACAGACGTCTCTTTCTGCCATGTCCCGTAGTAGGCAGGTCGATAGTTCTCATGGAACTGCAGCATTTTCATCTTGAGTCCATCAGGTTTCTTGGGTCCTTCGGGCTGCCTCTTCTTCTTCTTCTTGGACGTTGGAACGTCTTCTGGTATGGATGGTCCAGCAACATCCATACTACTGGAACAGTCAGGAAAAAGATGTTCATTTTGGAGGATGCAATATGTGCCTAATAACATTTTTTGAAATACATGTACTTGGTTGATGAAGATATTTCCTTGAAGAAAATTTGAACATTTCTGTAATATATTGACTGCTATGAGGGGCATTGCTGTTTCTATAGGCTCAAGGGGTCATAGCAGGATCCCCGAGATCCTGTATAGAAACAGTTATGCCTCGAATATTAAAGCAGTCCATCTATCTTTTATATACCGAATGCACAACAAAATCTACAAAGAATTCTTAATACCTTATCCATTTCTTGAGTAAAGATTGGTTAAAACATCATAGAAAATCTGAGACACTGTTTTTAATTCTTGCTAGAAAGTTGCCTGAATGTTACGATCATTCGGGAATCGCACATACACTGCACTGCATTGTATCCACACAAAATAGTTCCGCACAAAAAAAACATTTAACACGTAAACCAATGGGGATTTCAGCAAAATTTAACTATGCGGCCTGCTACCCGGGGCAATGGGCATTTTTCTCATTAACTATTGACCGTTACGAGGGCATGGCTAAAATCACGACTCCAATTTCGACCAATCAGATGACTAGATTTATTCAACATACCAAAGAGAGGTACAGGTGTATATAATGCCAAATAACACCTGAGAATACAGTTTGATAGGGACCACAATTATTTAGTACATGATAATTCCTTACCTTTCTTGTGCAGCTCTTGCAGGCCCAGGAGTGCGGACATCTTTGCGTGGTTTGAACTTTCCAGATTTCAGCTCATCAAGGTACAAGCTACCACTTGACTAGAATCAGTATGAAAACAAATCAATGGTTAATATTTCTTCCTAACCCACAGCAATTCAGCATCGTATTTAAGTGACATTGATTTTGTGATCCAGAATTCTAGGAGATATAGATTTAACATGGGCAGAAAAAACATCGACAAATTTGGAGTCCATTACTAATGCAGTAAATTGTGCCGTTCATTAATAAGAACAATTGACTTGTACATGATCATTAAAGTTTTTTAACTGACAAAGCGGTGTGAAATTTATAGTTATTACTCGGTACTTTTGGGTACAAATAGTCACATTTTTTGATGAAATTAGGAATTTTCATTCACATTGGTTCATATAATATACATTTTTTTTTTACTACGCACAATGTAAGAGTGGCAAATAAAGAATAACTGCTGCCAAATTGAGGAGTAAACAGTGATTTGATTGAGACCTCCAGAGTACCGAGTACTGCTATGTGTGAACTGATTACTGTGCACTGTACAAGTACCCACTATTATTATTATTATTATTACTCACTGGTGCCTCAAGATGTTTGTTGACCTGCTCCAGGTCCAGATCCTTTGGATTTACTCGTCGGCACGGTGCCAGGACCTGGTCTGACTTGACCTCAAAGGGGGCAAACCACCCCTTGACCTCCGGCTTCTTGACTGGAGCTTGAGCTTGGACGCTGAAGAAGTTTTTGAAGACTTGAGACTGCTTGGATTTCTTTGAAAGCTGGATAAGAAATTTAAAAAAGAGAGGTATGAAAATAGAAACTACAAGGAAGAAGTTTTTAAACACTCAACCTTTTTCTGAGGAATAAAAAATAGAAAGGAAAATGTAACATGAAATAACTGATTGAGTCTAGACATTAGAGAAACTCCTGTATGGTTGAGACTACTGGCTCAGAAAGAGACAAAATATTTCTATATGCCATCCATGACTTCTGATGAATTTCAGTGAAAGTATCTAAAACTAACATGGGCAACACAGCCATATCGGGCCCTAGACTAGGATATTCCTTCAGTGATAACTCCTCCCACTGATATCTCAATCATTTTTTTTAATCCCTGATATAAATCTGACCATAAGTTTTACAAGAGCCTGCTGCACACTGACATTATACATTGTAGGTATCGATGTGCCAGGTTGGGAACAAATATTTCAATAATTCATCCTATAACTAGAAGAGAAAATCACAGGAGCTTTTTTTTGCTTGTACCTTGCCATCCATCAACTAAAATCACAGAAATTGTATACATAGTTCTTGGGGCTCACCCAAACTATAAATTGGTACGACATGCAACATCGATTACATCTAGTGAAATCATAAAAACATGCCTACCTCAGCGGCTTCCTTCTGTTTTTTCTCTTCTTCTTGCTTGATGCGCTCCTCTTGCTTCTTCTTTTTCTCCTCCTGCTTGGCTCTGTGAGAAAATTAGGGAAAAGAATATCATGTTTATAACTGTAGGTGTACATGTATGTAATACTTCTATTCAATGCCTCAAACAAAGAGTCATACCTCAAGTATGCTAGTTTGACAAGTTCGCTCATACTTTCTTATCCCTGCTAGACTACTTTTTGACACTTGCCTAAAACAATCAATATGACAGGAGAAACAGCATATAACATGGGTTAGTCATTATCACTAATTAATCATGCACAGTTTAATACACGATGTACATGCATGTATGCTGAAAGCAAAGTTGTTAAAACTCACTCTAGCTCCTCTTGCTTCTTCAGGCGCTCTTCCTCCTTGGCTTTCTTCTTCTCCATTCTCTCCTGCTCCTCTTTCTCCTTCTTCAGCTGCTTCTCCATCTCCTTCTTCTTCTTCTCCTCTGCCTTCTCTTTCCTCTGAGCTTCTTTCTCCTCTTCCTTGGCTTGCTTCTGCTCCAGCTTCTGCCGTTTCTTCATCTCGTTTTCCTCCTCCAATTTGCGCTTCTTATCCTCACGGAGCTTCAGCTTTTCCTCCTTCTTTTCTTCTTGTTCCTTGAGTCTCTGTAGCGCCTTGGCAGACATTGGTGTCTATAAGAAGAAAAAGGACACAGAAATGACCAAGAAGGGTAAAGGAAGTCGCTTGATAATCTCAAGACCATCATTACTTTATTTTTGTTTTACAGGGATTCACACAACCGGGGCTTCAGGGGCAAATTACCTCCCAAATTTAAACAGGCCCCATATCTTAAAAACCACTATCAAATGATACAGCTTGATTTCCTGACATGGAAATTTGGTTTGAGGTTCTGCAAAATATCATCAATTCTCTTGAAAATTTGGGCATGTTTACAAATCTGTCGAGCAAGAGTTGCAGTGATACTTTTACCAAAGTAAGAAAATGCAAACTTCGGACAGTGAACACTGCTTTACCAACCAAACACACGAGTGCTTTCTGCTGCTATTGAAGTGTCTCATTAGTAAAGCATCACAGGAACCTGTATGTGCACTGTAAAGACCACCTGCCTAGTGCCTAATAAAGACTGCCTACATGTATATTTTCACACATGAGCCATCTACATGTACAGTATAAAGACAGGTTTCATTGCATTTTATGGTTGACTGCAATCTATATTTACCTGCTTGATAGGCTTCAGAGCATTTGATGGGGTAACAGGTGTTGCAGGAATTTTGAGGGACTCCTCCTGTGGTTTCTTGTCCTCTTCCTCTTTCAAGACTTTCTCAACAGCCTCCATCAATATGTCTTCCTTATCCTTCTCAGAACTGTTGCTATGGTTACCAACCTCCTTACAGCTTTCTTCATCCGAAGAAGCTTCCTCAAGGGAAGATATTGAAGACACACTGGTATTAATGGCTGTATCATCCTCTTGTGGTACTTCGGGGGTTTTGGCGCTGGTATCGGAAGGACTTTGGGTAGGACTCTCTCGTTTCCTTTTTTCAGCCTTGCTCTTCTTGGTCGCAGATTTGGGAGGTTCAAAGTCCTCATCATCCTCCATTTCATCATCGGCATCAGTGAGGTCGATGATGGCCGAGGTCGAGACATGAGGCTGCTGTGTACTTTGCACAAACCGATCCAAGGATGCAGACTTGGGGATCTTTTTGGAAGATGCAGCAGTCGAGGTGCAGTCACTGCTTGCCACGGTTACCGTGGAATCGCATTCCTTCTCTGAGGGCTTGGTATCCTCCGAGCTGGAACTGACCTCTGGTTCAGGAGGAGCACAGGGTTTACCTGCTACCTCGCTGCTGCTGAAACCTATCTTCCGTGCCTTCATCGTACCGGGCTTCTTACCCTGCAGTGTGTCGGCTTTCTTGAGAGGAGTTGTATTTTTATCGACATGTTTCGCTTTTCCTGAGCCAGACTTTTCTGCCAACTTGGACTTCTTGGTGATTTGAGGTGATGGAGTTGAAGAAAGATTTGGCTTATTTGTGAGGGTTAAGAATGGAAGCCGAGCTGTTAAACAGAGAAATAATGAAAGCATTTGATATGGACCATCTTTTTCTTTACATCATAACTAAGGATAACTTGTATTCAAAAGAGCAACAAATCAAATGAATAACAATCATTAAATAGATTTCTAGACACATCTCTCTACGCAGAAGACTTTTTGTGATGCCTCCTGTTACTAGATCTAGAGCCAGAAGTCTAGTTAATTTATCTAAATCTGCACTTTTATTGCAATCCTTTAACAAAATAAATGTCCCCAACAGGACTATAAAGAGAGTCTTCCAAGGCCAAAGCAAGTAGAATAGAGTCTCCAAAAAGAGCAAAATATTATTGGCAGTGTACATTCCAATTAATGGTATATTTTAAAAAATCACAAAGTTCATTCAATGTTAAGGGGGAAGGGAAGAAATATAAAATTTAAACTGAAAAGGTTGAAACCAAAACACAACTTACCTTGCTTCATTCGCTTGGCTGGTGGACTGATGATCTCTGCGTTTTTTATGTCAGTCATGGTTCCTGTTATAAAATGAAGCAAAACAAAGGTTGACTAAAGTAGCATGACTAGTTCAGGTGTTTATAGTCAAAAACAACAAAATAAGAAAATAAAAAAGCTTGGACATGTAGACTCTTTTTTAACATTCCCAATGATTGGGGTTTATGAAAGTCTATCGTCTACTCTAGGTGAAATATGATGAAATAGATCTAGCCTCCTATGTTGATAACTTGATATCACCTATCAGTATCAGTATTATTAGGGTGTCTGAACGATTTTTCAATTTTCCCTTTTGGATTGTTTTTCACCATCCTGGTTGGATAATTTAAAAAATCAACTAGACTACAGTAGGTTTACTCAGAAGAACACATTTCAAATTTCAAGGCTCACCGGTTTCTATCAAAAGATACAGCCCCCCAAAATCTAGGCAACATTTATCCAATTTTTGCCCAAAAAAGCGGTAGAATTCTACACGCCGAGTTATAATTTTTGCTCAAAAGCTGCACAGCACGATATGCCTGGGGTAGGGGTATTTTCAAACTGTAACTGCTCGGGATCCCTTGGGACTAGAGAAAAAGGCGCTTGTTCAGAAGCCTATCCAAAATTTGACCCGTAACTCCGGCATGGAGATACCTAGACCAAAAACTTCAGTCTCTCTAATCGTCGGTTGTTCCACTGAGACTACGTCTGGCTCCACTAGACCTCCGATTATAGAGACTGAAGTATGGCCTATCAGGACTGTACGGGACTGTACGGAACAAATGGTTCGGTTCGACCGGACCGCGATGAATGAGATATGCAACGAGATTTTCACTCCTCATAACTGCTGCAATTATAATAAAAATTAAAAATAACATATATATATAGCTTATTTGACTTACGATAGCTTGCTCATTTAGATCCTAAATTAATGATTAATCCAAGAAAGTCTCGTCGTCAACATTATCTGTCTTGGTTTTAGTTGATGAATATTCATTTTTTCTTTTCGAACGTCCAATAGCTACCGTAGCTACGTACGAGTCAGCCCGGCTTGACCAACGAACTCCCACGAAACGAGTGCTCTGATTGGCCATTGGCTATGTTTTGGTAGGTTGAACCGGAAATATATCGGCCGCCGGGTAATAGTTTGAATGCATGAACGTACTGCTTCGCGGTTCTGAGATAAAATTAGATAACTCATAATAAGTAAGTCCGTAAATTTCACATTCTAGATAATAGGTTAGCAAATTTTGAAAACTGTAATTAGATCTAGGGAGGTATATATACCGACCTAATTTACATCTGATTTAGAAATCAGAAAATAAGATCTAAATAAAGAAAATCGGGGAGAAAATGTTTTGAACGAAAAGGTGTACATCGGTGGCTCTAGCCACCCCCACAGTACGAGATCCCTGGGTTGCCGTCTGTATTTGGGAATGTCAACAAATGTCAGTTTTATAAAAGAAATGACCAAATCAGACGGTTATTTCTGTCTAGGACTAGGAGTAGACCTCTAGGAGATAACCTACTAAAACATACCCAAATTGAAGTAAATATTAATCAAATGTCCAAATAAAGATCATGAGTGAAAAGTAGTAAGTTAGATCTAGATTCTAGATCTAACTGTTAGAGTCTAGGGAGATCTAACTTAGACCTAAAAGTCAGATAGGTCTACCTGTTTCGTTCAATTTTCTTGTTATTTTTGCTCTTTCATATGACTGAGTGACACCTTCAGGATCACGAGCAGTAGTATATTGGTTTGAATCTCAAGTTGGTAATAAAAACATTGACCAATTTTGCATGAGCTTGTATCAATCATTACATGGACTGCATAGCCATAGCATAGCTAGGCCCAGGGAGTAGGATGTGTGCAATAGGTCTACCTACACTTAAAGACTTTGGCTGGGAAGGATTTCATTGATTTAGCACACAAAACCGAGTGCGCGATCAATTCAGACACCTGTCCCTACTAAGTAACAGTATCAGTAATAGTAAGGCTACACAACTTTAAAACATGAATCATATAAACAAATTTAGAGGCACTTTCTTGTCATCATGAGACATGAATGGACATGATCATCATGATGATTCATGATTGAATTGAGTGATTTCATGGTCACGATTGCACCGATTGTCAATAAAATTTGAGATCAATTCGAGTTACATGTTCGATAACTTTTCACTTTAATTTTAATAATGAATGTGCTGTTTCACTGATAAAATCATTCGAGTCACGTCTCAGTCTACAAGACCTACCTGATTTTAGAGATCTTTTCTTTGAATCCACTTCGAGAATATCAACATCACCGATCATACTCAGTCAAGTGCAGTACTGATATCTATCTGTTACAGCTCAGCAGAATTCATTTATGTGTGTACATTATGTACATACAACGTATTCGCTTCCCGCAACTTGAAGTTGGCGGGAGATTTTTTTACATCACGGGCACCGAAGGTACTATGAACCAAGGGATTCAATTGGAGAAATTAAGTAAATATACAAATCATAGTCCAATCAGTACTCTCTTGATAAAGCGATTGAGTAAAACCTACAAGAGCATCTAGTGGTCAGTTTTATGAATATATTAACTATTGACCAATGAGAGAGTATTTTACATAGATCATTCAGTTAAGTCAGTTATCGATGGCTATCGATCCTTAAAAATACGATATCGTTTAAACAGAGGACGTACGTGGGAGATCGAGAGCGAGAGTCCAGTGCGTTCATTGAAACTATACACGAAATCTTGATTATACATGTCCCATATGCGCATATTTACGTTTCTTATGAGAACTTAGAATTGGGACGTCTACGCCCACAACTTAAGACCATCTAAGTGACCATAAAATAAGGAAGATGTCGTTTGCCGGATTCAAGAAGCAGCTTAACAAAGCTAATCAGGTAAGATTTACTCATTTAAAACTCATTTTATTATTAACATTGTGAAACAATTAATTATGGATAGACTATGGTGAAAACAAGAAGAGATTTTGAAAGGTCTCCGGATCAGATGTCGTGCACGATCAATTCCGAACTGCCGGGCTCGCGGCCTGGCGATCGGAAGGGCCAAGGGGAGTGTGGCCGCTGTGGATCGGTGTACCGTGTATGATTAAAACTGCTGCCCTGGCCGTCCTGAATCACCATTTAAATCTTAGTGCTAAGTTAGTTAGACCTAGATCTAATTTATGGTTAATTTGTTACTGAAGTCTGAACTTCTAGTTCTAATCTTAATTATTTCTAGATCTAGATCCAATTTAGACCTCTAAGTCTAGATCTAGATCTAGATCTAGACTTGGTCTTGGAAGTTTGAGTCTAATTCGTAAACTACTAGATCTAGACTCTATTCTTAATTTGTTATAGACCCTAGATCTAGATCTATATTGTTAGATCTAATTTCATTTGTGAGATGACAAGTCAAGCCTAGACTAGAGGTTACGGTACACGCAGCAGTAGTGATAGGGGCGTTGGTCCGAGAATAAGGATCGTCCCCAGGTCAGGCGAGGATATCCTCGTAAACACAGACAAATCGCGTCCTAAAAAATAAAGATCGTCTGTGCGTTGGCGATGTGAAAAACGAATTCCACGATGATGCGTGAAGATTCATGTCTCACTTGCGCAGCACAGAGACTTTCACGATATAAAAGATAAATCCTTGGGAAGACAGACAACTCGAAAAAGCGGGCTGGAAATGGGGGTAGGCCCTACTCTTAGATCTAGACCTATTTCATTACACGGAATCCGTTCTGCATTGCCAGCGCATGGATCGGTAACCTTCCACCCGCCGAGCGCCGAAGAAAAAGACGTCCTCCAAAAATATAGATGATCCTTATTTTTTTGAGGATGTGATTTGTCTGCGTTTGCGATGATATCCATGTTTATGCGGACGATCCTTATTCTCGTACTAGCGCCCCTACTGCTAAGACTCGGTCTCAGAGTTAGATTTAGATGACAACTCAAGCCAAGGTCCTTGGCGTGTTCTTGTTACTGTCGGCAAGGTCATATTCATTTTTTGGGACGGACACAAAAGATGGACAGAACTTATCGTATTGTATGTGGAATTTAAAACTGGCATTTGTCAACCTTCCCCAAAGGCCATACACCGAAGGGGTAGAGGATAGTTCCTGGGTCTCAATATTACCTTCCAATAATTAAAAAATGCAATATAATTTATGTTTTGAAATTTAAAAAAATGCAATATAAATATATGTTTTGAAAAATGGAAAAAGGTGGGTTAAGGAGAGGGAATCATGTGCCTAGTATAAGAGGGAGTTGAAGACTATTTAAAGTATAAAGCCGTCATGAAGTGACTTTGTAAATACTTGCAATTAGTTTTTTCTCGCATGGTATTGCAGAAAAGGAAAGAAGAACTAGAGAGGAAGTACATGTAACAAACAAACAAATTGAGAAAGATAGAAAGAAAGAAAGAATGAAACAATATTGAAAAAAGGAGAGAAAAAATAAAAGAAATGAAGGAAAAGTTTGAAGATGTCTCTTTCTTTGGCAAGCTCTGTATCCTGTACAAAAGTGGTTCATGCATATAGCGCATGCGCAGTAGCTTTGTAAGGTAATATTGAGACCCAGGAACTATCCTCTACCCACAGAAGGTAACCCTTCCAAAGCTGGAATCTGATGTAAAATTTTGCCCATGTTTTTAGACTTGATTTAGAAAAAAAATGATGATTGGAAGTAAAATATATATAATTGTCATTTTTTTTTTAAACATAAAAAATCAATAAGGATAAACTTTTAGCTAATCTGTCATTTTTTAAAGCTACTGACACTGCAATGAGATCGGCAATCACAAATGAAAAGTCCATTGCGTATAAAACTCTCTTCACTATTAAACCTGTACAATGTATTTCAGTCTACCGGTATGTAGAGGAAGCCAGTGGAGCCAGACATACATGTATATGTACGTGTAATCTCAGCATAATAACCATTTATATCAGAGACTGAAGCGTTTGGTCTGAACATAAGACTGCACAATTTCCAGATCTTTTGTCATTATTTTTCATAATTTTGCAACTAATTCAAAAGAAAACTCTGTTACACTCAATTGACTTAAATTGCGTCCATTCCCAAAAAAGTTGTACTTACCGACAACTTCGACAAGGGTCTGGGAATTAATCTTCATTTTGAGAGTTGATGACATCAAAAGTGTTAGTAGAACGTGATTGATTGTATGATGTTTTGCCTTCAAATTCACTCAATTATCTTAACTGTGATGGATTCCTCTTTGGGATCAATCAGCTGTAAACTCTTGTGTGCAAATTAAAGGACTTGCTGTTTTCATGACTTTTTCTTCAGTTGTGGTGCATTCCTTTCCCTCTCGGTGTTGTGGGAATCACCCAGTTAAGATGCTCTCTTTAGAAAAACCATTTGAAAGACCATTTTTTATTGGTCAAATTCCCCCAAAATATGAATAATTCTTAACATGAAGAACCCAAGCTGGAAGAGCCATACATTTGAAACACAATTTGTAAAAACTTGCCGGACAGTCTCAGGAAGAGCAAGAAATCAAAACTTTCATCCATGATTTGATGCAGTAGTTAAATTAGAGGGAAATCCAACCCTATTTATAGTAAACTACTCTAAAAGAAGGCAGATAAGTCAGAGAAACAAACTGGTGAAAGTATGAATGAAATCAGAAAAAGCAATACACATGGGCCCTTCAAATTGGCTGATCCACAGTATAACTGTTAGTCAGTATTACCGCGACAAAGGGTCAGCCAACTTTTCCATATGTTCGAACACACAAAAATAGTGAAATGTCAATTTTACAAAATGTATGAGTCATGTGTTGTTTTTTTTCTTCTTTAGAGTACCTTTTATAATTGGCTTGACTCACAATATGTTTTGAGTAGTATCCCCAAGGGAACAGGAGCAGCTCTAATAGGAGAAAAACCAAAAATGTATAATAATTTTATACACAACAAAGTTGAGTTATCCATGAATACTCATTGGCGATTTGCGATTCACATAGATTTTTAGTGATCTTATATTTCAAACTTTCACCATTCTGTTCCTCTCATTAATTATCCGCTTTCATACAAATGAAATTAATGCAAGGGTTGGATTGCCATTTAAATTTGTTCAATTTTTATGCATATTGGTCACATTTGATTGTCACTTTTGTTTGTGCCTTCATGCCACTCACTTTTTAGACATATTTAGTCATCTCATTTACATTAAAAAGTGGCATTGTGTGTGGTCTTTTGACATCATTGTGTCCTTCCCCAAGTACGACTCTTTTTTTTTTTTGTGAAGGTGTGTGCAACTTATATTTGTCCATAAATATTGTATCTGTTGAATCCTTTAATAGTCTAAATATTTTAAAGATGCTTCTTGTACTTGTAGTCTTGTAGAAAAAATAGGATAAAATATGATTGATTAAAGACACTATGCCCCTTTTGCAGCCAACATCAAATTCTGTAGAACTTATATGTCATGTATGTCCAATCTGTGAAATTTAAACGTTAGCAGTGTCCTAATATTCAAATTATGCAAGGAAACCTGTTTACTTTCTAGACTTCACTGTCAGACACTATTGAGTGACTGACTGGCTTGTTTTCTTCCTTGGTAATAACTAAGGCTGTGCACAACAGTGTAATGAAGTACCCGAGTACACTCCCAGGCTAACAAGCGAATACTTGAATTTTTTTGAATTTTGTTGAATTTTGTTTCATTTTTTTGATTTTTTTTGATTTTTTGATTTTTTTTGCCACCACCATACCTTTGGAGCAGTATCCCAGTTCTGTCACCGAAAACGTATGCAATGTTACTTCGAGTTGCAGTTGATGGCGCCGATTTAATAATAATAATAACAGTAAACAATGCTGTTTTAAAAACCAAAGATGGCAGAATAATCCATTTTCCTACAAGTCCAAACAGAAATCCAGACATTTGGTCCCAGTTTCTGAGTGGTGAGTTTGACAGTGCTTGAGTTGGGAAACATTTTTACAGATGGCACCATGCCAGTGGCCAACGCTCACCCAGGCACGGGTAAGCGTCGGCCTGGACAGATTTTTTTTTTTTTTTTTTTTTTTTGCGGCCGAATAGTAGTTGTCAACCGTGCGGGTACTCGAGCATTCGACTACACGTCGCAGCCCTAGTAATAACATCCATAAAATGAGCTATAAAGGGTACATGAGCATTTGTCTACATCAATAACCCACTTGTAATGGCCAAAATTAAACTGATTGAATCTTTGCGCAGCATAAAACATACAACCAATCTGTACAATGGTCTAAAAATCTTAATATTATCTTTCAAATGCCGTTGGAATTTAACCTTTTCATTTTTCTGGCCTACAAATGGGACATACATGATGTACGGTAGTACCTTTAAGTGAAGTAAATTTTAACTTGAAAAAAAAAATATCCCATCCCTTTTTTTCCCAACCTCCAGGCAAATAATGACAATCTCTTAAATTCCCAATTTGTAGACACTATGAACATGACTGACAAAGAAAGCGGACAAAATATACAGTTCCTCAGGTAGACAAACGAACATCCCTTCACTGCTATTATGTAAACATGTGTAGAACAGGTGTCACATGCATATTCACCTTTTTTACATAATAGCAGTGAAGGGATGTTCCTTTGTCTACCTGAGGAACTGTATATTTTGTCCGCTTTCTTTGTCTGTCATATTCATAGTGAGAGCTGCTCAGTTTCTGTTTATTTCACAATTTGTTTTTCTTCTCCTCTTTGGTAATTTTTTATTTTATGAGACTGTATTTATTTATAAGCATACAATAAGAATAATGAAATTCCAACTGAACTGACAGTAACCATTTAAAACTTGAACATTGATTCTTTTCCATCATATTGTAAATTGTTTACTGTTCGTTATTCTCTACAAATTACAATGTTTAGGGAAGATGGTAATTGCGGTTGATT